GCGGGACGCGGGTGGCGCTGTGGGTAAAACCTCAGTGCCTAGGACTTGCTGATCGTAAGGTCGGCGGTTCGAATCCCCGCGGCGGGGTGAGCGCCCGTCATTCGGTCCCAGCTCCTGCCCACCTAGCAGTTCGAAAGCACCCCTAAGTGCAAGTAGATAAATAGGTACCACTTTATAACAGGAAGGTAAACGGCGTTTCCGTGTGCTGCGCTGGTGCTGGCTCGCCAGTTGCAGCTTCGTCACGGCCACGTGACCCAGAAGTGTCTTCGGACGGCGACGGCTCCCGGCCTCTTGAGCGAGATGAGCGTGCAACCCTAGAGTCGGTCACGACTGGCCCGTACGGGCAGGGGTACCTTTACCTTTTACAGAGCTGTAGAAAGCTGCTTCCAGATGATTTTGGCTTTCAGCCATACTCTTCAGCTCTTATGGCCAATTGTCTGGGATGATGTTCATCAATATCTGGAGAGCCACAAGTTCCCTATCCTTGCTGTAGAGTAAAATACTAAAGTGGCTGGTTTTTGTTCCACCAAGGGAAAATATCTGCATACCTGCATTTTCTCCCTTGCGCAGTAAAAGGCAATTGGTTTTAGCAGTTTTATATTGTACAACACTTTCAACGTGTATATCAAATGACAGCATAAAATATGATAAATAAATAAATATCGACAGAGCCCCTCCGTTATGAAACGAACATAGGAGTACGGGTAAATGCTATTTCTCATGTTCACTTACTTGAACAGGCTGAAATGATAACCACAATGTATTGGAGGTTTTAAAATGTGGAAGGCTACAAATATAGATCCCAGTGGAGGTGAACGTGAGGTGGAAGTGAAACTGAAGAAGCAAGCTAAGTCGATAACCACTTCTGGGCTACGAGAAAATCAGGCAAAACATCTGTTGAAAAACAAGACCAAGATGTATTTGAAGGAATAGGCAAACTGTCCTCTGAGTACAAAAGCAAAACTTACCAGACCAAATAGGTCTGTAATGCTTGTCCGTAGAAAGTTGCCAGTGCTTTAAAAACACAGGGAAGAGTGGAGAGGCCAACAGAATAAATGCATTCATTAGTACAGTAATACTGTAGTATATATAGGTGAAACTCGGAAAATTAGAATATCGTGGAAAAGTTCGTTTATTTCAGTAATTCAACTTAAAAGGTGAAACTAATATATGAGATAGACTCATGACATGCAAAGTGAGATACGTCAAGCCTTTATTTGTTATAATTGTGATGATCATGGCGTACAGCTGATGAAAACCCCAAATTAACAGTCTCAGAAAATTAGAATATTAAATGAAATCAGCAAAACAAGGATTGCAAATACACCAGTATTGGATCTCTGAGAAGTAGAAGCATGCATATGTACTCAGTGCTTGGTTTGGGCCCCTTTTGCATCAATTACTGCCTCAATGTGGCGTGGCATGGATGCTATCAGCCTGTGGCACTGCTGAGGTGTTATGGAAGACCAGGATGCTTCAATAGCAGGTTCAATGCCCATGGGATTACTGTGCTTGATTGGCCAGCAAACCCGCCTGACCTGAACCCCATAGAGAATCTATGGGGCATTGCCAAGAGAAAGATGAGAGACATGAGACCAAGCAATGCAGAAGAGCTGAAGGCTGCTATTGAAGCTTCCTGGTCTTCCCTAACACCTCAGCAGTGCCACAGGCTGATAGCAGTAATTACTGATTGAGGCAGTAATTGATGCAAAAGAGGCAAGGAAGCTCCTGCAGCCAATCAGAAGCCATGGAAACTGCGTCAGACGTTTGGGTTCCAAAGCACGTTTGCAAACTGGAACACTCACTTCTGGGTTTGCAGCGTTAGGGAGCCAAACGTTTGACTCGCAAGGCGTTCAACTTCCAAGGTACGACTGTGTTTAGTCACGTGTCAAAAACTCAAAATGTATATGCCACTTTATTGCAATAACACCTCAAAGTGGTTTACCCAAAAAATAAAATAGTAAAATTATCAAGAAGCAAGTTTAAAGCAGGTGTTTCAAACATTCAAAAGATAACGGTAGTCAACAGGAAGCAGAAAGATATTAAATCACGTGCCAGCAGTCTGCTTTGCCTGGATAGGCTTGTTTCAACAACGTTTTAAGCAGGAAAGAGTATTGCCATTAGGCAGAGAGTTTTACATTTATCATTTCCAGTAATCATGAAACGAGTATAATGTAATCCCTGTAACAGTCACAGTTCTGCAGATCGAAGTGGCCATGATAAGGCAATCACACAATTAAACGGGTCCCAAGTTGTTGCTAATCCTAACACCATGAACTTGGCCCAGGAGCAAATCAGCAAGGAGTGCAGATCTCTTGAGCAGAGGTGCTATTTTGCTGACAGGGTCTTAATCCTGTCAGAAACTATACTGCAGCACTCTGTACTAATTTTATCTCCTGGATCAAGCAGGGATCCTACCCACCCACATTATTTCAACACAGTGGGGGGCGGGCTTTGAATGCCATTTCTCCAACACTGGAGTCATGCCAACAGAAGCCGCCATGCCAACATCAAGGGCGGGGCAAGAAGGCAGCGCCTCACCCCAGGGCCGGATTTAGGTTTGATGAGGCCCTCAGCTACTGAAGGTAATGGTGCCCTTTATATGTCCAGCTGTCCTTTGTCAACAACAAATTGTCACTGTTTTCTGTGTTGAATATATGCTATATGATAATTTATGGACCTAATAGGTATCTAAAGCCATTTGCACATGTTGCCATGCAACCAGTCCATGCAGAATGTAGGCACCCTATACAGTGGTACCTCTGGTTGCGAACGGGATCCATTCCAGAGTCCCTTTCGCAACGTGAAAGGAACACAACCCGTGTCTGCACACGCATGGATCATGATTCACAGCTTCTGTGCATGCCTGTGACGTCATTTTGCGCATCGGTGCATGTGTGAGTGGCGAAACCCGGAAGTAACCCTTTCCAGTACTTCTGGGTCGCCGCGGGACGCAACCTGAAAAAACATATCATGAAGCAAACATAACATGAGGTATGACTGTATAAAGAAATGAGCAAACCAGTGATATTTTAGGGAACAGGCTAGCAGGCGGGGCCCATTACTTACATCATAGGAGCCTACACAACAGAAAACACTGTTGCTGTAGGTAGGTTTTATTTTGTTTGTTTGTTATCTTATATTTTGGAAATTTACATCCAGGTTTTTTCCTTTAATTTTTTGGGGAGATATAGCTTGTTTAGCTTATATATAAATCCAGCACTGCCTGCATAATGGTTCCATTCATTTCGTGGAGTTTCCTTGACAAGCTGATTCATGACTGGGTGGGTTTCAGAAACAGCTCCCTGTCTAGAGTCTTATTAATCACTCTCCTTTTTATGACAGGCAGTGCTGTATGGTGGTTAGGATGTCAGGCTGGGATGTGGGAGACCCAGGGTTCAAATCTCCACTCAGCCATGAAACTCCCTGAGAAACTTTGAGCCAGTTGTTTGTTTTTCAGCCTAACCACGTCAGGTGGCTGTTGTGAGGGGGAAATGGAAGGGAGGAAAAGCAGAATCTAAAGGAAACGTGAAGTAAATAAGTCAATTTTTAAAATACAGGTAAAAGCGAAAAGCAAAGTAACAACTTGGGATGCGGTTGGCGCTGTGGGTTAAACCACAGAGCCTAGGACTTGCTGATCAGAAGGTCGGCAGTTCGAATCCCCGTGACGGGGTGAGCTCCCGTTGCTCGGTCCCTGCTCCTGCCCACCTAGCAGTTCAAAAGCACGTCAAAGTGCAAGTAGGTAAATAGGTACCACTCCAGTGGGAAGGTAAACGGCGTTTCCGTGCACTGCTCTGGTTTGCCAGAAGCGGCTTAGTCATGCTGGCCACACGACCCAGAAGATGTACGCCGGCTCCCTCAGCCAGTAAAGCGAGATGAGCACTGCAACCCCAGAGTCGTCCACGACTGGACCTAATGGTCAGGGGTCCCTTTACCTTTAAGTAACAACTTACAAGCGACCTGTCCTCTTGCCAAGCTATCCTATATGTGGCCATCTTTCTCCATCTCTATGTTGGTAAGATGCAAAGGACAAAATATGACCTCTGTACCTTTAGCACTTGTGTAGAAGAGGGGCAAGTTATAGCTTGCCAAAATCCTGCCTTCAATACCACTATTAAAGATTTGGAGTCCCCCTTTCCAGTTTTGTGTTCGGTCACCGTATTCCAGCCTTTTGACCTGTCCCCTAAAAATAATATTTAAGCAAACAGAAAAAAAACACAGAGTTGGGCAATGCCTTCAGCAGGACCAAGCTAAAAGGCAAGGAAATGTGGTGTGCTTTAAGGTTCTCCACAACTCTACATCAGGCGAGATGCTACACAAGTTAAGGAGTGGTTGCAGGAGAAGAAGAAGAAGAAGAAGAAGAAGAAGAAGAAGAAGAAGAAGAAGAAGAAAGATTGAAGCTGGCTGTTATAGCCATAAAGTAGTAATAGTAATAGTAATTTATTATTTGTACCCTGCCCATCTGGCTGGGTTTCCCCAGCCACTCTGGGCGGCTTCCAACAAAGATTAAAAATACGTTAAAGTCTTCTTATAGATATTGTACAATCCATATGCTAGACTCAATCTAATTCCCAAGTGATGAGATATCATGTTCACATTGATGATGTTGCAAAGCATTGCACCCACTAGGTGAAGACCAATGCTAAAGCAGATTCCTAGTGAAGAATCAGCTTTACCGCCTGCTGTGCTTGTGAGTGACTTCTCCCCCTCCAGCCAGAAGTGTTTATGTATCTTCGGGGAGGGGTAGGAACCAGTCAGCTCAGAGAGATTAGAACTGATGGGTTGTACCTCTGCAAAGCATTTACCAGCAGAGGAGCTACTAGGAGCCATATATTTGTCCTGTGATGCTCTAGGCTAGAGATACATACATATGCCCTTTTTTCTGTTGCTATAGTTACTCCTTCTATGTTTGGAGTACAGACAACTACACAGAACAGCCTAAAGAGCCTCCCTTGGAAACTGCATTGGAACTAAAGGTCCTTTAAAAAGACGGCAGGAAAATGTATTGGAAACAAAACACCAGGTAAGTCTGCTTTTTTTCCTCTCCTATAACTGCCTTGACACCTTCTTAATCTTTGCATGCACAGAGGCAAATTCTAAGCAAATTTTAGACATGCAAAAGCTTGCTATTTTGGCTCCAGCGAGAGTAAATGGTAATTGACAGAGCTGTAGAAGGCTTTACTAATTAGACTACAAATGTATTTAGGAAGCAGATGCCCTGGCGATATTATGAAAGAGAATGCAGCTGTTAAACTAGGATTCTATGGATGTGCAGGATAGCACCCTTCATTTGGCAACTGTGGTGGCTGAGCCATTCAGCTGCTTTACTCTAGTTTTTAAGAGTAAGATTCTCAGCTTGAAGTCTCATTGAATTTAGTTTTGACTTGCAGCACAGTACAAAAGCATGTCTACTCAGAAGTAAGTCCCGCTGAGTTCAATGGGGCTTACTCCCAGGTAAGCAGCAAGAGGATTGCAGCCTCACTCCTTAGTGGGTGATAGCCAACTAAGCCATTATTAGAACAGAGCCATTGCAATCAATGCACTTAAGTGTTGTTAGTGGGTCTACTCTTGAGTATGACTTATGCCGCTTGTCACGCAGTGTGTTTAGTATTGCATTCTTTACCTTACGATTAAGATGACATTCCTATGTACTAACTTACACCATGAGACATTTTATGGGATATCGTTGAGTTTATTATGACATGAACCACTTTGGTGTTTCTTGTTTGCAAATGAAAAAAATAGCATGGAAACATTTTTATTAAATAAAGTACCTGGGAGTCATGTCCCACTAAATTACCGTAAGTGGGATTTACTTCTGAGTAGACATGCCTTGGCATGTACCTTTCTCTCAAGCCCTTTTCTATATAAACTATTTCTTCTGATTTTGCATTTCTAGGTTTATTTTAGCAGTGACTCTGGCCTTGCAAAGTATTCACTTTGGAAAAGGTGAGAAGCTCCCTCTTCTTCTGTCTATTTTTTTTTTTTGTCTCAACACTGTTAAATGTGTGCACTTTTTTAATAAAACACACAAACCTATATCATCTTATTTTTTTATCACCTTGTCTCCTATAAGGGTCCAGACACGAGAAAATACAGGATGCTGGAGAAATTGCTGGTGCCACAGTCCCAAAGGATAACATCAAAGACCAACTCACCACATTAAATATCTTCAATGAGATGAACCACAGTTATGAGAGCAGGAAACAGCTCAATAAGCCAATAGTGCCTTTCATTGGTCTTACTGAAAGTAGGTAACAATGTCATTTGCCATCTTTATGCTGCCAAAACAATCATTATATACTGCAGAGATGGCCTATGGCCCTCGCGATGTCATTGGATTCCAACTGGTCCCAGCCATCTGTATTTGCAGATATAGCAGAGACAAAAAGTCTGGTATAGAGTTTTGAAATGTATATAGTCTTGAGCAAAGGAGGCCCAAACTCAAATCGCTTTGCCACCAAACTTCCTGGGAATGCAATCCCAGATATGTTTACCTGGAGGTAAAACCCATTGTGTTCAATGGGGCTTCTTTCTACCTAAGTGTTTTCAGGATTCCAGCCTAAATTTTAACCTATCCTAGCTCGCAGGGTTGTTGTGAGACTAAACTGAGGGACACCTCTAAAGCTCCTTGCAGGAAGGGTGGGATAAAAATGTAATAAATGCACATGTGTCCATTGGGAATCTGCTGTCAATTAACCCCAACCCTTGTGCCATTTCTAATTTAATACTCAAATGTTCATGGGTGCCAATTCTGTGGAAATATTTTATGGTGGTTCAAGCAGTTTTTATGCTGTTGTATATCTGAACAGGATCTTATAATAATAAATTATTATTAGTAGTAGTAATAATAATAATAATAATAATAATAATACCCCGTCCATCTGGCTGGGTTTCCCCAGCCACTCTGGGCAGCTTCCAACAAAATATTAAAAATACAATAAAACATCAAACATAAAAAACTTCCCTAAACAGGGCTGCCTTCAGATGTCTTGTAAAAGTTGTGTAGTTCTTTATCTCCTTGACATCTGATGGGAGGGCGTTCCACATGGCAGGTGCCACTACCGAGAAGGCCCTCTGCCTGGTTCCCTGTAACTTTGCTTCTCACAGTGAGGGAACTGCCAGAAGGCCCTTGGCGCTGGACCGCAGTGTTCCTACGGGAAAGTGCTGCAGTTCCCATGTAATATGTCTATGGCTTAGGTCAATCACTGAGCTATATTGAGCTATATCAGAAATACTCTTTCTACCCAGGGATAATAGAAGAGCATGAGATGTTATTCTGCTATTAATGTCACATAAAAACAAGGCCATGTGCTTGTTAATTTTATTTCAGTTCATTGTTTTCAGCTAAACCGTGGGTAGGCAAACTAAGGCCCAAGGGCCGGATCTGACCCAATCACCTTCTAAATCCAGCCCGCGGACGGTCCGGGAATCAGCATGTTTTTACATGAGCAGAATGTGTCCTTTTATTTAAAACGCATCTCTGGGTTGTTTGTGGGGCATAGGAATTCATTCATTTCCCCCCAAAAAATAGAGTCCGGCCCCCCACAAAGTCTGAGGGACAGTGGACCGGCCCCCTGCTGAAAAAGTTTGCTGACCCCTGAGCTAAACTATAACCCATCAGAAATCTGCAAATCCAGGACCAGTCTTTGTTAGAGGGTCATAAGAAAAATCTGACTTTCATTCTTTTTGGCAAATGTCTGTCATGCTACTTTCAAAGAAAACCCATTTATTTAAGTGATGAGTGAGGTCTGCTTCTGGGAAAGTGGACTTATATGAAGTCCACAAGCTTCTTCAGCAGAGACATGCCAGGGGGTTGCTGCCTGGCCACTGAGTAATCCCTAGTAGTGTGCTTTTAATCCTTATCTAAACAAACTGGGCTTAACTGAGCAAACACTCTTAACAGGCAGCTAATTTTATTGTCCCCTCAAGGCCAATAAAAATCAGACCTTTGGCAGCCAGGGAGACTTGGTGGGGCAAGTGAGAATGTAGGTTCAAAGAGGGTCTGCTTCTTAGTAAACCGTGGAATTATTCACTTCCAGGTAAAACGCTGAAGCGGGATTGCTGTCAAAATGGAGGAACTTGCATCCTGGGCAGCTTCTGTGCATGCCCCCAACACTTCACTGGCAGATACTGTGAATATGATCAAAGAAAGAGGTAAGGAAACTGACTGGGAGACATGAGTTCCTGGAGAGACGTAGTTTGCTTATAATTAGGGTCAATTGGTGGAAAAAAGACCAGTGAATTCAATGGAAAAGCTTTTGATGCAGCAGACACAGAGGAGGGGAGGCAATTTTTGCCTACAGTGGTACCTCTGGTTAAGTACTTAGTTCGTTCTGGAGGTCTGTTCTTAACCTGAAACTGTTCTTAACCTGAAGCATCACCACTAATGGGGCCTCCTGCTGCCGCCATGCCGCCAGAGCATAATTTCTGTTCTCATCCTGAAGCAAAGTTCTTAACCTGAAGCACTATTTCTGGGTTAGCGGAGTCTGTAACCTGAAGCGTATGTAACCTGAGGTACCACTGTATTTACCTTCGTACTGCTCACTGGAGGCTGATGCTCTTTGGCATGATTAGGATGGAAGACAGAGCAGGATTTCTAAACCATAATTGGTTATTATTTTATGTTACGTTTTCTGTGGACTGCTGTCCTGGGTTTAAGTTTTTCCTATACTGCTGTTTTAACGATGGTGATGGTGATAACACGTCAGTATTAATTAATTCTGAACCTTCTGATCTGTCCTTGGCAGCAACTGTGGCGTGTTCGAACATGGACAGTGGATACGAAAGAGTTGCCATCTTTGTCGGTGTGCTTTTGGTGAACTGCACTGTCTATCTCCGCGAAACTGTGGTAAGATGAAACTTCAATCTATTGTTTTGCTAATTTGCTATATATTGATGGTCCTTCATCATTCTGACTTGTCACCAGTGAGCTTCCATTTTATTTACCTTTCCAGAAGGTTCCTCGTTTCTGAGAGCTTAGCAACAAAGGTTATTTCAATGTAGCTTCCTTTCTCCAAGCTATTTGAAAGACTTCCAAATAAAATGTCACAACATACCATAACACTAGGGAACTTTCCCCTTTTCCTAGTTTTAAATTTTCCTATCCCTCCAGCTGAATATTTGATGGAAGGAAAAAATAAGACTCAAAAGGTTTCTTGCCAACAAAATACAGTGGTACCTCGGGTTACATACCCTTCAGGTTACATACGCTTCAGGTTACAGACTCCGCTGACCCAGAAATAGTACCTCGGGTTAAGAACTTTGCTTCAGGATGAGAACAGAAATTGTGCTCCGGCGGTGCAGCGGCACCACCCATTAGCTAAAGTGGTGCTTCAGGTTAAGAACAGTTTCAGGTTAAGAACAGACCTCTGGAATGAATTAAGTACTTAACCCAAGGTACCACTGCATAGGCATGTAGAGCAATTTAAGGAATGGGTCGTGTTGGAGTAGTTCAGATTAAATTTTATCATAATGATCCCTTCTGGCCTCAGAAATCTATGAAAGCCAGTCAGTTATGTATATCTGTTATTTAAATGTCTTATCTTAACAAAGTTCACTGAGCAATTAGGCTATATCAGGAACTAACTCCACACTTGCTTGACTGCTAGTTATATGTAAAAGATATATGCTAAAAGAGTGATCCTTAATACATCCCCCACTAAATAATGATTCTCCCAGTTCAATTAAGTGCATTGTAAGGAGCAGGAGTTCAACAGAAGATGTTATTTCGGGGAAGAACTTCCTCAGTTGAATTTCTGTCTGTCCTGAGGCTGTTAAAAGTACGGAAGGACTGTCTCCAGCATTATCTAGCTTGGGAACTTTAGTCCAGCACCTCCATTCTTAATGCCTTTATTTTGAAAGGCAGCCCCACTAATCAGAGTGTTCAGTATTTTTTCCTCCCTATAAATGGTTTAGGAAAGAGTATGGCTTTAAACTTAGAAGTTCCAGTGTAATATATGTGATCCTTGTAGGTTTGGGGTATTAATCTGTTTATTTCCTTTACTTGTGAGAAAAGGGTTAAAAATAAAAGGCATTCTATTAACTTCCTTGTGGTTTGTATTTACATTTGATTATGCTGTGATTAATGCCTGCAAGAGCTGATAAGTTGGCTCACAAAGAGGTCCGCATTTGCACCTCTCAGCTGAGAATGGGATCTGTGATTGGCTTCCAACAGATGTTAGCTTTAGCTTAAGTACTTGCAAAGAAGCAGAGGAAATTGCACAATCTGTTGAAATTCTTTGCGGAGAGGTCCCCCTGTTAACAAACTAACCATTTCTGTTTCGTTTCTCAGCTGTAAGCGAGGAAGAGGAATGGATCCATTTACTTTCAAAGGGCCAAAGATTAAAGGAAACAATGGGCTACTTCTTCCTAGGCTGTTTCTTTGCACTCTGTGGACTGCTCTACCTGTTATGAAAACTCTTTTAAGACTGGTATTCATAACCATGATTTGCCTTATGATGATGTTTGCCCTTCAAAAGAAAGAAGAGTAAACACTAAAACAAAGGACAGTGCTATATATAAAATTTATAGTGCCTGTTGTTGTTTTAAACTCCCAGTTCAACTTTCACAGTAAACTCAGCAAACCTCACTTCTGCAGTGTCCACAGAAAATTGCTCAAGAAGTAAAAAGGGGCTGATAATTAACATTTTTGTTTTCAGGGATCAGGAACCTGCAGCAATCCAGATGCTGTTGGAACCCAGCAATATCTGGGAAGGCCGTAGGTTTCCCATCCTGATGTCTGTCAGGTTGCTAAATCTAAAAAGGACATGCTGCTTTGACTCAGAAGGATTGGGACTGGTTGTTGCACTAGGTCTAAAATTGGTCTCAAAAGTCCTGTTCTGAGCATCTCAGAAGAACCAGTGAGATGCTGGAATAGCTAGTCATAAAGTGTGAAGTGCAAGGCCTACATTGGCTAACGACTGCTTCAAAGATTAGCCCCAGTATTAAACTAGTGTTTGTTAATGAAAAAGCACTATAATGCATTAATGCCAATTTTTGTTAACTTCTGTTTAAATCTGATTTAAGCAGTTCTTTATTCTGAAGTGTTGACTCTTCCAGTGGAAGAAAAATGTATTTTCTATGGCTTAGGTACTGGAAACAGTAAATGTTGTGTATATTCTGGGACTTTCTTTTCCTTGAAAGAATAAAATAAAACTTATGGAACATTAATGAACCAATCTATTTTCAGTACTCATTGTGTTTGCATGTGTTCAATCATATGTCAGTTCTGTCCCATTTCCCCATTAAATGAAACTTGAAACTCTGCATGAAAACTTGCATTCTAATTGCATTTTGAGACATCGTTTTGAGCTGCGAATTGTGTTGGAACATTTGGGAAGTGCAAAAGCCAGTGGGTAGCTGAAATCTACAGGCTAGTGAGGTCAGTTCCTATCAGCATCCACAGACTCTTCAAGCAATCCTGAGTTAGGGCAAATTTGCATAGCTGCTTTTGAAGGCTTCCTTCAATCCATTCCAAACTGACATTCCTTTTCCACACAGATCACGCAAGCAGACAGTATATCAGTCCAATGCACCAGCTAACTATAAACTCAAAATCCCATGCTAAGCATATTTATTTGTAATAAATAAAAATAAATAAATATGCTTCGCATGGGATGCATGAGAAAATCCACATCATCCATTCCTTGCAGGCAATTTCCCATAAATGAGCAGTTTTGTCGTGTTTTAATGTTGCCCAATTTATATGCCACACTTCAACAAACTTTCCGGGTGGCTTATATTATTGGAACTACAGAACATCCATTTGATTTTTCCTTTCAATTTAAACATCAGCCAGTGTGGGCACATGCACAGACTTTTGGAGGCAGAGGGCTTAATATGCTGAAATTTGCTATCCTTGAGTAGCCTATAGAACACATTGTTACCAAGCTGTGAAATTCTCTTGTTTTTTTTCCCAACAATCCTTGCCATAATCTGGAGAAAATACTCTTATATGATTTTTGGGCTATGTACAGTGAAACTCTTGAATTATATTAGATACTCTCACTTGGACTTGACTTGAAATTTGTTTTTAAACTCCTGGTAGATGTATTTCTAAAAGGCAGACTTGAGCCTATAATCTGCACAGCGTGTTTTGCATCTGTAGTTGATCTGTCAAGGAATTTCTTGTTTTGAGATTTACCTCAAGATAGCTGTCATTTTCCCTCTGACCACAGCCAGGCACATTGATATAATCTTTCCTTCCCTCTAGAAATTAGCCAAGTTACACTACTGTTGTCCTTTGTTGAGGGAAAGGCTATTGGTTTGCCCTGCAACCATTGTTTATAGGGAAGCAGACATCTTGGCACCCGTGTCACTGGTAGGCGCCTGGTTAGACATGAATGCATGAGGATGCAGCAATAGAGGGAATAAATGAAATATTTAGAGTACGTTGATTTAGTTCTCTTCTTCCCCACCCCACGATCAGTTTATAACACAATTAACATGCTTTTGTTGATTTATTTATTGCTTGCAGTCTGTGCACAGCTTCCTTCAAGGCTGCATTTCTGCTGTGAGGATATATCCTTTTATGAGCACTCAAAACAATATATTTTGTCCCCAGGGGAGGGAGGAAGAGAATGCAAGGGATGCTCACTATAACAGCCTCATGGGGAAAGAATAGGCTCACTTATTTAGAAGAAGAAGAAGAAACATTGTTACCTCATAAAGAGATGCTGTGCCTCAAGAGTATCCCTTATGTGTAAATTGGTCCTACTGTTTTCAATGGGGCTTACTCCCAGGAAAGTAAAGTAAAGGTAAAGGGACCCCTGGCCATTAGGTCCAGTCGTGGCCGACTCTGGGGTTGCGGCGCTCATCTCGCTTTACCGGCCAAGGGAGCTAGCGTACAGCTTCCGGGTCATGTGGCCAGCATGACTAAGCCGCTTCTAGCGAACCAGAGCAGCGCACGGAAATGCTGTTTACCTTCCCACCGGAGTGGTACCTATTTATCAACTTGCACTTTGACGTGCTTTCGAACTGCTAGGTTGGCAGGAGCAGGGACCGAGCAATGGGAGCTCACCCCATTGCGGGGATTCAAACCGCTGACCTTCTGATCAGCAAGTCCTAGGCTCTGTGGTTTAACCCACAGCGCCACCCGCGTCATGGCGTGTTAGGTAAATGCTAAGTGCTACAATTTACTCTACAAGGGGATCACTACCCAGCTGAAAAATGCACAGTTCCTGAATGGAAACTCACAAGATCAGGCACTGTATGCCTCTGGACTGGGACAAAGGTACCCATACTTGTAGCATATTGTTTAATTTGTAGGCTCAGTCCACGTGAGAAGCTTGTGTCTATATCAAACGGATTGGAGACTACTTTTTTTGCCAATTATTTTTCTTGATTTTCCATAATTTTTAACAAATCGTCTCCAGATTGATACAAATTAATGCAAATTTAATGCAAATTTAAAAGCTGATTTCCCACCCACCAGATGTTCCTTCTTTTTTACTCCCTCCATTGCTGCTTTCAGTATGATAACTTTTCCAACTATTGTTTCAAAATTCATTCATCCCTTCTCCCTGCACATCGCCTGTACAAGTAGCAGTTTCTGCTATGACTTTTATACATTATTATAACCTGTCCTCAAAATAGTCTTTTATGAAAATCCTCTTTTATCTATTTATAATCATCATTGGTCAATTTTAAAACTTTTCCCTTCAATACCTCTTGGGTAATGCTCTGCCTGGGGGGGAAAAGTAGATTGGAGATGACCAAAAAAGCGAAAGTATGTAGTTAGTATTCTACACAAGATGGTGCTGTGGATTTGAAAACAATCAGGCTTAAGCAAGGGTATGGTCAGTAAAAAAGGTAAAGGACCCCTGGACGGTTAAGTCCAGTCAAAAGCGACTATCGGGTTGCGGCGCTCATCTCGCTTACAGGCCAAAGAAGCCGGCGTTTGTCCACAGACAGCTTTCCAGGTCATGTGGCCAGCATGACTAAACCTCTTCTCGCACAACAGAACACTGTGACGGAAACCAGAGCACATGGAAACGCCGTTTACCTTCCCACCACAGTGATACCTATTTATCTACTTGTACTGGCATGCTTTCGAACTGCTAGGTTGGCAGGAGCTGGGACAGAGCTCCCGTTGTGGTCAGTACGTGTGTTGGACACAGTTAGTTGATGTTCTAGCAAGAGGCATACCTTCTCCATAGTGATTGAAACCTCCATAGAACCTGCCTCTCTTTATTTCACTTAAACAAATTGCAGCAGGTTTGCCCAGTTTACCACACTTCCATGTCTTTCACCCCCTTGCACTTCCACTCAGGTGTATTTGCCAGCTCTGTCCACTTGTCTGCACTCCTGCCCTTTTATAGAGTCTCTGTTTTGAATTTTTCTTTGGGGAGCTTTTGCCAGGGTCCAGAGGCTTGCATTTTCGTCTCAGCGTTTATTTTTAAATCACAATAATAAACATTCAAATGTACTTGCACCCCATTTCTTTTTGGCTGGTATCCCCTTCATTTCTCTACATTCCAAATGGTATTTATGTGTGATGTAATGAGGAAGCATGATAAATCTTGTTGCTTCTTCTAATATGGCATGCAGGTGGTTGGCGCTGTGGTGTAAACTACTGAGCCTCTTGGGCTTGCTGATCGGAAGGTTGGCGGTTCGAATCCCCGCGATGGGGTGAGCTCCCATTGCTCTGTCCCAGCTCCTGCCAACCTAGCAGTTCGAAAGCACGCCAGTGCAAGTAGATAAATAGTTACCGCTGCAGCGGGAAGGTAAACGGCGTTTCCGTGCGCTCTGACACTCGTCATGGTCCTCTGTGCACCAGTAGTGGTTTAGTCCTGCTGGCCACATGACCTGGAAAGCTGTCTGTGGACAAACGCCTGTTCCCTCAGCCTGAAAATGAGTGCCACAACTCCATAGTCACCTTTGACTAGACTTAACCGTCCAGGGGTCCTTTACCTTTTTTTTCCTTTTTTTTTTAACCATCTAATGTGCCCCAGAAGGGATGCGGGTGGCACTGTAGGTTAAACCACAGAGCCTAGGACTTGCCGATCAGACGGTCGGCAGTTCGAATCCCCGTGACAGGGTGAGCTTCTGTTGCTCAGTCCCAGCTCCTGCCCACCTAGAAGTTCAAAAGCACGTCAAAGTGCAAGTAGATAAATAGGTACCACTCCAGTGGGAAGGTAAACGGTGTTTCCGTGCGCTGCTCTGGTTCGCCAGAAGCGGCTTAGTCATGCTGGCCATATGACCCAGAAGCTGTAGGCCAGCTCCCTCGGCCAATAAAGCGAGATGAGCACCGCAACTCCAGAGTCAGTCACAACTGACCTAATGGTCAGGGGTCCCTTTACCTTTACCTAATGTGCCCCAGAAAGGAGAGGAGGGTAGTTAAGTTTAATTTTCAAGGGAAAGGCTGTGATTCAGTGGGTGGGTTCTGCATGCAAAAAGTGTCAGGTTCAATCCTCAGCATACCCAGGTTCAGATTGGGAAATATTCCTGCCTGAAACCTTGGAGAGCCACTGCGACTCAATGTACACAATACAGAGCAAGATGAATCAATGCTCTCACTGAGTATATGTCAGCTCCCTGGGTTTATGACTAAGGCTGTGTACACACTAAACCTTTAAAGCACAATCAAAATACATCCTTTCCCTCAAAATATTCTGGACACTATAATGATAATAATATGCCTCCCATTTGATTGGGTTGCCCCAGCC